CTCCCCACGACATATCATAGTAAAAACACTAAATGGACAGAACAAAGCGAGAATACTGAAAGCAGCAAAAAAATGAATGAAATGGAAAACAGAATATCAACACTGGAGGATAAAGTTGAAGAACTGAACCACTCAAGCAAAGATTATGGAAAATTAAAAAAAAAAAACACAGAGGAATGGAATATGCAACAGATGTGGGAAACCATGAAAGGACCAAATCTATGGATCATGGGAATAGAGGAAGGAGAATGTCAGGTTAATGGTGTTGACCAGATCTTAAACAGGATTGTAGAAAAGAATTTCCTGAAATTAAGGAAAGACATCCCCATACAAGTACAGGAAGCACATAGAACACCAAATAGGATCAGCAGAAAAGAAACTCCCCACGACATATCACAGTAAAAACACTAAATGTACAGAACAAAGAGAGAATACTGAAAGCAGCAAAAGAAAAACAATAAATCACATATGAAGGAAAGCCCATCAGAATTACAGCTGACTTATCAATGTTGCAGTGTCCTCAGCAACATGGCCTTATCAACCTTTCTAGTGTACAACCAACATTAGTGGCAATAGCCTTGGTGAATTGGAGGACCTCAAGGATCTCTCTCTGACCAACAGCTCATAGGGGGGCAACCCACCCCTGGTACTGTAAATTTTCTTAACAGTTGTCTATAGCTGGTCTTTGCTTCTTCAGGTATCTTTCAAATGGGCTTCACATCTATAAAACACTTGAAGGAAGGTTAACATATACTAAATCACTCATAGACAAGGTCTCACAAAGCATGAAAAGGTTTTGTCCATTTGTATTAACTGTTTTCTCCATAGATCCTTGTTAGGTATCATAGCATGGGTACAAGGCATTAATTTGGTTAATATACTTACAGGTGTTGGCTCCTATGGCCTGACCCTGCACTGGGCTAAAGAACCAGGGGGCTTCTCCTGTCCCTGCTGCACCTTTTGGTTCCCTGAGACAGACAGGCTCTGGGTCTGCCTCCTGACTGTAGCCATATCTGTCATCATCCCATTGACCACACCAGGTTTCTGGGGGAGAACTTGGTGGGAAAAGCTGCTTCCACCCCTAGTATAGCCTTTATCAGAAGAGAAATGCATCTTATTTAATCCTTTTGGGTTCTTAACCACCCCTTGTACAGTTGTTATCCTTCGAATGTTCTTTGTAAATGGTTCTTCTGGCTTTAAAACCTTCCAGAAATGCCTTAGTACCAAATTTGGTTTTCTATCAATTTTTTCTCTGGGGATTTTCACTTGACGTAAGTCTTGCCAAATTTGTCTTCGAGTAACCCAAGTGGACTATTTCTTCAGTCTGGTCTTTTTTATATCTCTTAGAGGGTGTTCTGTTATTTTACAGACAAGTTTTACATGTTGGTCAGAATCATTTAGATTTGCTTAAAGCCTCTCTTACTTTATAAAGATCCTGTCCCATCAAAGGGCTTAGTAAAACCATTAAAGCCCCATACCATTTTCGAGGTCCCAGTTGAATTAGGCTTTCCTTCATATCTGTGGTGAATTCAGTCTTATCTGGCCCAGTGAACTGGACATCATATATTGCTTTACCGATACCTAGTTCTCTCAGTAATGCCTGCCCCTCCTTTATAGTCCTCCAGCCCCTGCTAATCATGTTAGTATCACTTGGTGACAACCATGTATGTTTAATGCCTTTAACCAGCCACCCCATTAAGGACTGCTCCTCCCTGGTTTGGCCAGGTTGATCAGAAAGAAAGAAAGAAAGAAAGAAAGAAAGAAAGAAAGAAAGAAAGAAAGAAAGAAAGAACAAATCCAAATCAACAAAATCAGAGATGAAAGGGGAACCATCACAACAGAAACCCAAAAAAGCCAGACCATTATAATGGAATATTTTTAAATATTCCATTATAAATACAATATTTTAAATCTGAAAATCTAAAAGAAATGGATGGATATCTGAAATCAGGGGAACCACCAAAGTTAAACCAAGAAGAGATCAACAGGTTAAACTGACCCATAACATATAAGGAAATTGAAACAGTAATACAAAGCCTCCCAACTAATAAAAGCCCAGGCCCAGATGGATTTACAGCAGAATTCTATCAGACATTTAAAGAAGATCTCCAACCAATACTACTTAAATTATTCAAAACAATAGAAACAAAGGGAGAACTCCCAAATTCCTTCTGTGAAGCCAGCATCACTCTAATACCCAAACCGGGTAAAGATGCAACAAAAAAAGAGAACTATACACCCATATTCAATGAACATCGGTGCAAAAATTCTCAACAAAATAAATACTTACAAACCACATAAAGACATACATTAAAAAGATCATTCACCCTGATCAAGTAGGCTTTATCCCAGAGATGCAGGGATGGTTCAATATACACAAGTCGATAAATGTCATTAATCATATAAATGGACTCAAACACAAAAACACATTGTCACATATATAACAAACCCACAGCCAACATCATTCTAAATGGAGAAAAACTGGAAGCATTCCCATTGAAATCAGGAACCAGACAAGGTTGCCCACTATCCCAACTTCTCTTTAACATGGTACTTGAAACTCTTGCAAGAGCAATAAGACAAGAGAAGGAAATTAAAGGAGTAATAATTGGAAAAGAGGAGCTCAAATTATCCCTTTTTCAGATGATATGATAATATATCTAAGGGATGCCAAAAATTCCATGCGCAAACTCCTAGAAATTATTAACACATTCAGTAAAGTGGCAGATTACAAAATTAATCTACAAAATCTGAAGGCTTTCTATACACCAATAACAAGCAATCAGAGAAAGAGTACATGGAAACATTCTCCTTCACAATAACTGCAAAAAAAAATATCTGGGAATAAACCTGACCAAAGCCAGTAGCCGGGTGTGGTGGCACATGCCTTTTATCCCAGCACTTGGGAAGCAGAGGCAGGCCCATCTTTGTGAATTCATGGCCAGCCTGGTGTACATAGTTTCAGGACAGCTGGGGCTACAAGGAGACCCTGTCTCAAAAAAAAAAAGACAAAAAAATGAAAGGGATTGAGGAAGACATCAGAAGATGGAAGGACCTCCCATGCTCATAGATTGGAAGAATTAATATTGTGAAAATGACCATCCTACCAAAAGCAATATATAGATTCAATGCAATCCCAATCAAAATCCCCATGACATACTTCACAGAATTAGAAAAAACTATCCTTAAATGCATATGCATAGCCAAAGCAACCCTGAGCACAAAGAACAACACTGAGGGGCTTACTATACCAGATCTCAAAGTATACTACAGAGTTACAGTCATAAAAGCAACATGGTACTGGCACAAAAATAGACACATAGATAAATGAAGCATCATTGAAGATTCAAACCTGAGTACACGAAATTTCAGCCTCCCAATATATGACAAAGGTGCCAAGAACACACAATGGAGGAAAGATGGCATCTTCAACAAATGGTGCTGGCAAAACTGGATCTCCACCTGCAGAAGAATGAAACTAGATACTTACCTTTCATCTTGCACAAAAGTCAACTCCAAATGGATCAAAGACCTCAATGTGAAACTGGAAACCCTGAAACTATTAGAAGAAAATATTGGCAGTAACTTACAAGATATAGGTGTAGGAAAGGATTTTCTAAATTGGACAGAAGCTGCTTAGCAATTAAGGTCAGCAATCAACAAGTGGGACCTCATTAACCTAAAGAGCTTCTGTACAGCAAAAGACACAATCAAAAAAGTGAAGAGAAAATCCACAGAATAGGAAAAAATCTTCACCAGTGACACATTTGATAAAGGTTTAACATCCAGAATATATAACGAACTCACAAAACAAAGAATTGAGAAACCAAAAGGTGGGCTGAAGATCTAAACAAGAGTTCTCAAAGGAAGAAATAAAGATGGTTAACAAACATCTCAAAAGTGTTCTACATCATTAGAAATTAGGGAAATGCAAATTACAACCACCCTAAGGTATCACCTTACCCCAATCAGCCTGACTAGGATGAAGAGAACAAATGATACCAAATGCTGGCGAGGATGTGGAGAAAGGGGAATGCTCATTCACTGCTGGTGGGATTGCAAACTCATGCAACCTCTACAGAAAACATGCAGAGAACTCTTAAAAAACTAAAAATAAACCTAACATATGATCCGGTTGTACCACTCCTTGGTACACTCAAAGGACTCATCCTATTGTAGAGACACTTGTACAACCATGTTTGTTGCCGCTCTTTTCACAATAGCTAAGAGATGGCTAAAAGATGGAAGCAACCTAAGTGTCCCTCAACTGATGAGTGGTTAACAAAAATGTGGTATATTTACACAATGGAGCTCTATTCAGCAGTAAAGAAAGATGAAATAATGAAATTTGCAGGTAAATGGATAGATCTAGAAACTGTTATACTACGTGAAGTAACACAGACTTGGAAAAACAAACGATGTATGTTCTCCCTCATATGTGGATCCTAGCACCAAATCCTTTTAAATTCCAGGTCCTTTTTTTTTTGTCTTTTTTGAGACAGGGTCTCCTTGTAGCCCCAGCTGTCCTGGAACTCACTATGTAGACCAGGCTGGCCTCAAACTCAGAAAGATCTGCCTAATAATATGACGCTATATAGCAGTCCCTTCTGTATGAAATAACTACCATCATCACGACTTCAGCTGAGCCTTATCACTAAACATGACACAATTGGGCTTGTTGACAGTTGTGCTCATTCATTAAAGGATGGCCAAGCAGGGTCATTGGACCCTCACTGGATTATCTAGCCACTCTTCCCAGCCAACTGTATGTAATTTGACCCTAATCACACTTGGCCTCCTGGATCTGGGGAGGGCTAAAGTATACAATCTGAGGAAGGCTAGGAAAAGAAGGCATGACCTATGCTGGGTAAAGGCTTTCCAGTGTGCATACCCTCAGGTCATACACACACCTCAGCAACCCCTCAGTTATCTTGGAAAGTAAGCTCAATAAATACATTGGTTCCCCAGTAAAACTTTAATCAAACATTGGCTTGACACTAGGACTTTAAAAGGGAATAAGCATTGCTTAGCATCCCCAGGAAAAGAAGTCTCACAACAGATGGAAAATTTATTTGTTAATGCTATTATGTATCACAATTGTTTTTTAAAAAAGAAAATGAGAATGCAAAAGATGTTAAAAGGATATGGGAATGGAGATATTTTCCAAAATAGAAAAAATGAGAAAGCCTAAGTAAGTA